CGGGGCCAACGAGCACGATTTGTGACATCACAGATAGTTTGGAAGTCATTTTCTGGTCAGATCTGCGACCTGTTCGAGTGTGACGTAGAAACTTGAAGCCGCCAGTGCACACACACACACACTGAAGATAGACTTTACAGAAGGGATCTTGTGTCCAGCAGGAAAAGTAAAAAAAAAGGATTTTAAAATGGAAATCGTATCCAGAAGGGATGATTAAGATTTTCACCAACAAAGTGCCTTTATGTTAATATAGCACATACTAGGGCTTGTGAGAAATCGTTTCTTCATCGTCATGGCAGTATGAACAGGCCTGATGAACACCAAAGACTGCCTGAAACGTTAATTCATTTAATGGAAGTAAATATAATGAAATCAATGACATCAACGTGTGAACACTGTAGAGAAGCGACATCTGCTCCGTCCGCTTTCTCTCATCCACCTCTGCTGTTTTACAAAAGCACAAAAGTTGTGTGTTTGTCTATTTTAAAATCTAATTCTTGTTTTACTGCTGGCTGAGACAAAGCAGCCCCTCCTCTCCACCAGCGTTACCTCCAGGGAGAGAGTCGCATCAGAGGAGGACAGGAAGAACGACTGATACTGACTCTAAACTTCACTTCAGTATTTGTCAGGAATATTATATATTTCTTTAATTGGCATTTTAGATTTGTTTACAGTGAGATCTTATTGAGTATTGCTCATTGCTCTAGAAACAGCATCTTGTTTTATTGAAAGTATTTAATTCTTATCCAGTTCTGAATTTAATATATGTTCTCTTCAACATTTGTTTATTCATTGTATTTGATGTTTACAGGCTGACACTATAGCTTCACCGTGCTCTTTTAGACTTGTGACATACTGTAAGCGGACAGTTACAGACTTGTCACAGTGAACGTGTTATGTATGCAAAGAGAGCAGGAAGGGAGGGCAGTCGTGTGTTTCTGCTGTCAGTAATGTGTGATGTTGTTGCTGAGGTCTCATTATAATATGTCCAAGTTAAAATGTGTCTTCTGTTTGTCCTGTCCTTTTTACTTTTTGCTGTGTTGTCTTAGAAATAACTCAACCTCTGTCCAAGAGAAAGATAATGTGCTGACATCAGACAAAGTGTAACCTCCTGGATATCCGTGTGTGTGTTCAGCTGAAAAGGGGATATGAGGCCTGAAACACAATTTCTGAGGCCGCCCCTACTCAACAACTTCACACACACAATATTATTAGGTGAGCACTTGTTTTTAGAGAGTGTGACCAGACTCGAGCAGTGGGCCCTTGCCATGCGTTTCCTCGTTCTTGTCTGTGTGTGTGTGTGTGTGTGTGTGTGTGTATTTGCCTGGGCCACAGAATGCCCCATTGTGAAGGCTGCACAGAGACCCTGTTATTGGCAGCCTTCTGAGTGGGAGGGAGGGAGGGAGGGAGGGAGTGCAGACAAGGACGGAGGGAGGGAGAGATGGAGAGATAAATGAATTGAAAGCAAAGAGCAAAATGCTGGTTGGAAACTGCGGAAAATGAAATAAAAAGCCCAGGAAAAGGAAGTCAGCAGCTGATGAGCAGTTACACTGACTGCACAGAATTTACAGAGCACCCGTAGTTTTCTGTAATATAATGTGCTTTCAGGTGAAAACTCATTTTCTAGAATATGCTTATTTCCCATCTTACTGACAGCTAGATGAGAAGCTCAATATGAGTTTTATCTTTCTGTGTTTATTCGTTGTGTTTAGCCGAGCGAAGCACAAACACAGGAAGCAGGTAGTCTCAATCAAAAGTGAAGTGAAAAAATACTCCTTGAAACAATTCCAGAAATGATACATCTGAGGTAGGGAACTGCTGTGATCATGAGTACATTCAATTGGTATTTCATGAAACCTGTGTGTACAGTTATTATTATTTATGATGGGAATGGGAAATCTATATCCACACATAACTTCTGTTTCCCTGTCATTCCCACGAGGCCCTCCGTCCAGTTTTCACCAGATTATTAAGGAGCTATAATCACAGAATAATTGTTCTACAGGATTGCTTATTTGATTTAAAAAAAAACATATAAAAAAAGAAGTCAAAATCAAAAAGAAACATTTCCTAAGTAAGATCTGCTTTGAAGGCAAAGAGATGATCTGATATGCTGTTGTTGAGTCACCGACTGTTACTATTGCAACAGCCTCTCGACTTGCCTCAATCAGAAACTGTAGAGCGGCTAAAGACTGCAGAACTTTAACCAGAACTGAGAGGTGCAACAGTATTTTATTCTAATTAGTTTTTCTCAACTTCTATATTAGTATTTAACACTGTGCCTTTCAGTGTTGTTCCTTGAAATCACCAACTCACACATTCACACTGTACAAGAATGATGAAGTGCTGAAGTGAACATTGTGTGTGTGTGGTCAAAGATGCTGAGACCTGCTAGTTAAATATGTGTGTTAAAATGTATCTTTTGGACTTTTTTTGTGTGTCTTTAGTTCATGAGTAACATTCCTGTGACGAGTGAAGACCAATAAGACTGTAATTCATCTCATGAAGTGTTTCTGAGTTCCTCAATTTGGAAATAGGAACTGCGTTTGATCAGAGAGCAAGATTCACACTGTCCCTGTGCCCTGTGGTGTCTGCTCTGTGACAGGAAACTTTTGACAGGAAACGCACTCTTTTCAACATTTCTCGGACTGGATAGTGTCGGTTACTGTGTGCACACTCAGCCTGCTTCTACTCACCAGTCTAGTCCATTAATACTTTTTAGTACTCTACTGTTTTGTTTAATCTGTCAGTATTCTCGTCATGTGTCTGTGTACTACATATTCAATTCACAGAATATTTATTGTGTTGTGTTTATAAGTGAAACAATATGCTGCCAGCTTCAGTTTTTTAATTAAATTTAACCACTAAAGTGCTAAAATATATTATTATGCTTCATGAAGATAACTGAATGTTTTATGATATCGATATACAAATGTGTCAGCCTGTTTCCAGTCTAGTTTAGACTACAACCGTCCACTTATCTTTGAATGTTCGAATGCAGTTTTATCTGATATTCTTCCTTCATGAAAAAGAGGAATATTCCATAATTTAATTTAACATTTTGTTTGTCATAATGCGTGTAAATGAAACTGCACTCTTTCTTATTTGGTGAAATATGGACTATAGTTTTCAGGAGCTAAAAAAGTGAAACAAATAGTTCTCCAGCAGGGGGATTAGGCATGTTAGTAAACCTGGTATTGAACTGATCTCTTTAAAAAAAGTGGCAGTCAAATGTACAAATGCTTAATAACTAATAATAATAAACGTATATCTTATCCTTGCTACTATTCACTATAGAGTGTGTGTGTGTGTGTGTGTGTGTGTGTTGTGTGTGTGTGTGTGTGTGTGTGTGTGTGTGTGTTGTGTGTGGTTGTGTGTGGTGTGTGTGTGTGTGTGTGTGTGTGTGTTGAGGAAAGGCTGTTTGTGGCTATGCCTGGGAAATCAGCAGCTTCCCTTGTGGTCAAAAGTACGAGGTAGAGAGATGTTCTGAGATAGCGTGAACACAGTAGGCGTTTGATTAATGATTCAATTCAGAATTAAATTTTGCAGATGTTCCTTTCTGATAGCTCCAGTTTCTCCTTGAGCTATTGCTTACTGCTTATCAGACAGGTTTGCATTACGTGAGTGCAGGGAGCTGGCACTGCCTGCTGTTTGCTAATCAAGGCCTGACGTTGTGACTGATGTGAAAACTGAAAAAAATAAAATAAAATCCTCATACTTGGATAGTTTGAACGCTGTTGTGATGTACATTATTCATATCCTAAGGCGTACTGCAGTGGAAAACCCGAAACCTAGAGTGGATGTGGATGGGAATGTTTGGTAGGAAGCTGATCTTGAGTCCACTTCTGCAGCCTTCAAGTGTGCGTTAGAGAGAATTGAGTGAGTCTGTGTGAACGTGATGTGTGTGCCAATACTTGTTGTGTCAATTACACTTCCTCCCATGGTGGTCTGTTGTGTGATAGCACTACATTACTGCCTGTGTGCTGGCTTCATAAAAAGGAAGATTGGTGTTTTTTCTTGATACCATTGAGATAGTGATCAGATACTGTATGTGTAATACATGGGTGGAATACAGATCTAATAGCAGTTTCCTTCTAAGTTATACTGAAGTCGAATATGATCATCTGACCTGAGCAGTGTGTTAATATACAATCAGCAGTTTGTTTTGCAGTTGTTGCTGTGCAGAGACACAAAAGTGAGCAGAAGTGCTGTTGAAAATGACAGTTCTTATCAAAATAACTAAGCTGCTGGATGATCTCACTGCCGATGCATCAACATAACTTCCTCTTTCACAGAGGTGATTGTCCTGCACCCTGACATTTTATCACACACACAACTTTGAGACTGCTGTTTACAGTCTATAAAAATGGACCTCTTGGATTTATGTCATTGTCAGCTCGCTTATTAATCACTATGTCTGACATTTAGGAAGCTAAATTATTATTGCACTTCTCATAACATATTTCAAAATGCAAGATTTCTCAAAATAGTATAGTATGTAGGAAGTGATTTTCGTCATCTAGTCTAAAATCAGACTAATATGACACATAATTATCAGTTTTTAGGAACTAAAACAAAGTTTTCAATTTAAATCCAGGAATAAAAATCTGATTCATGCATTTTTTGTTGTTCCTGTTGAAAGCCCGCGATTACCATCTTTTTCCATTAATAGATTATTTTTAGTATACTGTTAATGTTCATATTTTTTCTCTTCCACAGGTTGTGTAAGCCATGATCTGAGGTGTGAAAAGTCTGCACTGTCTGACTGGACGCAGAGTTACCATCACTCATGCTGCACGCACACACACCAGCAATGTCTCATCCTGACTCCTGTACAACTGTGTGGGACTGGTTATGTGTGCTGCGTCTGGAGCAGTATTCTGAGGCGTTTCAGAGCGCCGGGCTGGCAACGTTACGACAATGTCGCAGCCTCACGCAAGATCAGCTGGAGCAGATGGGAATCACCCTGCCAGGTCACCGGAGACGCATCCTGGCTAGCCTGAACAAAACGCATGGTAATAATGACACCCAGTCTGACACACACGCTCACCCTGTACAGTCTCAGCAGGATCAGAGATGGGAGGAAACGGGACATGTCAAAGTGTTGCAGAGAGAGAGACCTGTGCCGATCCCAGCGGAAGAAAAACCTGTTCTTAAGGAAAGGAAGAAAAGAGATGAAGAGACATTGAAACCTACACCCAGGGAAAGAGAGAAACCAGTCCCCAAAGAGAGACAAGTGTCCAAGATGAAAGAGGAAAGTGGAGGAGGAGAGAAGAAGCCAGTTGCTGGACAAAGACAAGTAGCGCCTAGAGGAGGAGAAGAGGAGGAGAGGGATGGGGGAATAGATGGACAGAGAGAGAGACCTGTTCCTAAAGAGAGGACTAAGTTTCGCCCCGGTCCTACAGTGGACTGTCACTCCAACTCTCTTGTCTCTCCAGTGTCTGACACCTCTTTACCCCCTGTCCCCCCACGCAGCACCCTCAACTGCCCCCCACAGCCCTTCACCTCTCCCCTGAGCCCCTCGCCTCCCGCTCGAACCCCTGTCTCCCCCAAACGGGACAGACTCGCGCTTAAAGCCCCGGCTGTACAGAGCAGATCTGTGTCCCAGAGTTCCTCCCCCACCAGCACCCCGACCCCGACCCACACCCCGTCACAAGCACCTCTCCAGCCTCCCAGTTGCCCCTCTCCCCCAGCTCGGCCTCAGACGTTAGCCATTCAGCCACCCGGCCAACATTTAGGTAGTGATGGAGGGATAAAGTCTTCACCTGTCTCGCCCATTGCTTCCCCCAGTGACGACAAAAATGCCCCACCTCTCCCTCCGAAAGCAGGGGCAGTACCCAAAGGCCCTCCACCGATCCCACAGCGGTGTCCTGCACAGTCTCCCAGAACTCACAGGTAAGGGTTATTTTTTCATGGGTATTAATTCAGTTTTTAAGCACGTTAAGAGTTTGTATTTGCTATAATGGGCTGACTTTGAGGACTTACAAAAGGTTAGATTCCCGTACACTGTCTGTACCGAGTGTATTACAGGTAGAACCTTTCTCTTGTGGGCCTTGTGACAAGTATGTAAACAAGTCGAGTAAAGGAGTGGGACTCTAAAACTGCCCTCTCACATTGCCTGTATCTATTAACATATGTCATAAATGCATCCGTCCCTGGGCCTCTCTGCCCCTACAGGGTGATGCTGTTGCTTTTCACATCCTTAAAAAGCACCTATACTGCACTTCCTACTGTGAGCAGAAGACTCTTTAGAGTGTGAGTTTTAGTAATATGCTGTTCAGTGTGTGAGGGTGCTATAATGAAGGTAAAGTGAGAAAGAATTATGTAAATACTTGTCAGCGATGTGTGTTTGTGTTGAGTAAGTTCATTGAGAAATGGTCAAGGATTTTCTCCTGCTCCACCTCTGTAAAGTAAATGTTATTGATTCGTAGAGGATTAGGCTGCCATCTATTGGACAAGACCAAAAAAACTTAAGTTTCAGTTCAGACACAAAACATTTTATTGGTGACTTTAAAACACTTCCTGAAATTAAACTTAGACACTTCCTGAAACTGACAGGCCGAGGCACATTGAGTGACTGAGTGGACCTGAGGCTCAGTGGCCTGTTGAATACGGAAATTTGTTGAGTGTACATGAACCAATTGAGCCTCTCTGTGAGGCTGCAGTCTGTTATGTGGTTTCTCATACCTCACCACTGGAGGATGCATGTGTGTATTTTATTTTTCAAAGGTTCTGTGGTGACCGTTTCTAAGTACTGTATTGCTATCCTCTATATAACATCTTGTTTTTTTGAAGGATTTACATGCTTTGCACTGGTTGATATGTTTGCAAAGTTGTGAATCTGTACAAAGCACTAACTAGAATTATGCTTCAACTCACAAATGTCACTTCAGCAGTCCTTTCTCATGTGTGTGTTTGTGTTCCTGTTGATCGCAGTGGAGTGTTTGTCACCAGCAAGGGAACTAATGCCGT